CCTCCTCCTCCTCCTCCTCCTCCTCCTCCTCCTCCTCCTCCTCCTCCTCCTCCTCCTCTTCTTCTTCGTCTTATGGACTGAGGCTGGAGGTCTCTCTCTCCATCCTCTTCCAGGTTATATCTTCATGCCAGTGCCGCTGAGTGCTGATCTCACAGTGATTCTGAGAGTGAGTGCAGGAGAATCCTTCAACCATTGTTTCCTTTCAGAACCTCAAATGGTATGCCAACTCTTTGTTCAGAATCTCCATCTTAGTGTCCAGTGGACATTTCCAGATCCACATGGCCCCAACAGCCTGTACTCACACCCTCAAAGCCTTTTTTCCTTTGGGTGTTCTCCATTCCCTTAAAATGGCGTCACTGTCAGCCAGATGTTCACAGCAAACTCAGGCTGATTTACCAAGGTTCCGATGATGCTCTCAGGAAAGCAAAACAAATGTTATTGATACCCCCAAAGACTTATGGTGTGATAATGTTTTAGAGTTTAAAGGGCAAAAGGAAAACATTTACCCTTAATGTTTTTTCACATCTATTTTTATAGAATGAGTACATTTTCCCCCAGTAACAGTACAAACCATCTTGAAATTTGCTCATTTCATTTCTATATGTAAATTCATTCCTCATTTTTTATAGCTGCACTTCCAAGATGATCTGATGATTCTCAGACATTTCTATATGTGGAATATCGATAAGGGTACTTACATGGTACTCTAAAGTTCAGGTTAACATCAAGTGGCTAGAATCCAAAGTGTTAAATGCTAAAACTGTGGGACTTTTGAGGGGGGAGAGGTAGGTCTATGTACTTGATAAAAATAATAAGAATGGCAAAGATGAGCTGACCAAAATGCAATTGAGCCTTGAAATTTTCAAATACAAAATGCATGTCAAGAGTGAAGTGTGGGCTCGGCTTGTTTTGGGTGGCAGCAGCACAGTTGAGCAAACAGACAAGAGATTCGTTTATCCTTCTATCTAAGACTTTCTTCCTTCTCTTGGTAACAAATCTGTAGTTTAGTGTCATGAAACTTTAGTTAGCGTTTGACATTTGACAAAAGTTTTAATTAAACATAATCAAGCAGAGGAAAACCACATGGATAAACGTAAAGAGGAAATTCAGCATTTACTCACGGTGGGGGAAGATAGACACTACTGGTGTCCCAGAAAATGTCTTATATTAGGAAGATGCTGGAAAAGTGAGCATGTGCCGTCACCCGTGTGAGCTGTAAGGTCCTTGGAGAAGCATCTGCAACCCTCACCTTCTCCAAATGTGGCTTCTCTATCTTGGCTGGATTTCCACAGTGAGCAGTTTATGAAACCTAGATTGTGACTCGCATGGGGGAGGCCTCCCCTGGCAGGGAACATGAAGCTCCAAGTGGCTAGGTGAGAACAATATATATGTACAGGCGGCCATTATTCTGTGTCGAGTTGAAACAAAAGGTGTAGTGAGTGAGTCTGTTTTGCTGCTGTCATTCACTTGCTAGATTCTCTAACTCTGTTATTGGCAGCCTTTGAAAGGATCAACAAACCAATGTCCACCAGAAAGTGGGCTCTGAACCTGCTTTACCAGAGCCACCAGAATCCTGCTCAAAGTACACACTAGACCAACCATCTTTCTTGGGACTTCAGGAAGAGTTGGCAGTCTGCATGTAGACTCTTAAACACGTGTAGAGTCTTAAACACAGCAGAATGCTTGTGAGCTATAGACATTAAAAACTGTTTTCTGGGGGTTATTCTTCAAATATATTTGTGCCATGGCCAAAGGGATCTACTTTCAGTGAAACTGTGGCCTTGGGCAAATGAATAAATGCATCGAATAGTGTGTGAATTCCCTACCATGCCTTGGTGAATTGATGATGCTTCCTCAGTTGCTGTGGGGAGGTTTACTGCTCAGTGATTCCACTCAGAGGAAGCTGTAGATACAGCCTGTTTAAAATCATTCCCAAAGCATGTATTTATGTTTATCTCCAGGACAGAAGACTTAACATTTTTTAAAAATACCAGAGTTCTCATGATTGTGCATTCTCAGCAAGCCATCTAAAGTCTGCTTTTCCTGTGTATAAAACAAGGAACTTGGGGAATGACTATTTGGTCAGACATGGCTGTGAGGTCCAGGTTCCTTTCCTACGCAATTCAAACACATGGTCCATGATATCATGGAGGAAAGAAGGACTATGTGGTGTACTGGCTAGTTTGTATGATCCCTTCCAGTTCTTATTTTGATTCAGTTTTATTCCTTCCAGGATTTCAGTTAGTGGTGGTTGAAGAACGTGCTGAGTTCTGTTTATGGAAGAAAAGTTTACAGTTGCAGAGGTGCAGTTTAAGACTTGCTTGCACGAGACAGTACCTGTTTACTGTGTGGTCAATGTGAAATGTAAACGAGACAGGGAAAATATTCATGTTGTTATAAAGCTCAATAGAAAAGGTGGATCATGTTGGGATAAGTATTTGGAATGTATTCAAGAGAAATAAATCTGAAATTAAAAATTAAGCAAAATAATACTAATTAAAATAAGTACTTAAAACTACAAGATTCAAACGTTAGTTTTCCCCATGGCCAACTATGTATAACTTTATAAAGTAGTTCAAAAAGCATATCATATTTTAAATAAAAATTAAGGTTATACCAAAAAATGTTGATATTTGTTTTATTTAATTTGATAGATGTAAGAGAGCCTGGGTTATTATTTTGCTTTGGTTCAGTAGTTAGGAAATCTGAGGTATGAACCAGATGAATCAGGAATAAGGAGAGTGCTGAAGCTCATGGTGGGTAAGATCTGGGGACTTGCTTATTTGATTTATTTAAATAGGCTTTGTTTTTAAAGCAAGAGTGATACTGTGCATATAGCCAAAGCATTCAAAAAGGAATTAATGTCCAGAAATCTCCTCCCTGATCTCTAAGTAGAAGTAGCTACTATTGGCAGTTTTGGAGTATTCTGAATATTATTTTTTTCTCACAGATATAAAACATGCGTGTCGATATACACACTTGTGTGCATATGCTTATGTGTGTGTGCATATGTATTTGCATATCAAGTATGCCATTTTGCGAATTATTTTCACCAGACGGCTTTTCATGAGCATCTATCTTTTATACATATATGTGTACATTTTTGCATATATATCGGTCTAGTTTTCTGTACATTCATGTCTAATCTGACTGTGATTTTGCCATCAAAGTCTGCAATATGAATATTGCATGTGTCTTGTGCTTCCTTTATGGGTGGATCTTTAGGTTGTTTCCAATTTTATTACTTTTATAGCCAATGAGTTTCTTTGTCAGAATATATTCCTAGGACAGATTCTGAGAGGTGGAATTAGTCGGCTTAACCTGAAAATTAGTATTAGGTTGAACCTACTCATTCTCCCAGCAGGAAAGCCCACTTCAAGTGTGGCATGTATTGTAAGCAGTTTTCAGGGCTGTTGTCCCAGTTACTATTCTTGTCAGCAATGCCCTGAGGGTGATAATTTGGGGATATTATGAGCAATCTCTTGGTCACCATCAACTTTTCTTAATGCCTTCAATGAGTAAATATAACATGTCTAAGATATGATTCTTATTGTAATTTTTATTTTTTAAATGTCATAGCCAGAGGCACCTACCCTGAGCTTCTGTGTGCCCTGGAAAGTTGCAGACCTTCCCTTAGCTGGCAGTGGCAGAGACCTCAAAGCAGACAGAAGAGCAATAGTCTTTTCTAACTTTGTGGTGCTGGGGAATTGGTCTAGGACTTCTGATATATTATCTACTGTTGAACAATATCCAAAGTCCTTGAGATGATCTTACATGACCACTGGGTAATTTATGGATGATGTCTTGAGGACATAAACTAAATTTGCTAGGTGGGAAGTTCCCTTTCTTTCTTTCTTTCTTTCTTTCTTTCTTTCTTTCTTCCTTCCTTCCTTCCTTCCTTCCTTCCTTCCTTCCTTCCTTCCTTCCTCCCTTTCTTTCTTTCTTTCTTTCTTTCTTTCTTTCTTTCTTTCTTTCTTTCTTTCCNTTCCTTCCTTCCTTCCTTCCTCCCTTTCTTTCTTTCTTTCTTTCTTTCTTTCTTTCTTTCTTTCTTTCTTTCTTTCCTTCTTTCCTTCCTTCTTTCTTTCTTGCCTTTTTATGTTAAGGCTCACTATATATCAAATATTTTGTAATTAGTCTTTAATGAAAGTTTAATTATCATTAAGAAGTTTCAGTCTAAATATTCTAAATATGCCCCCACTCCCATGTCTCTCTCTGATGATGGACATTAAACCCAGGGACTTATGCTTGCTAGGAAATTGTTTTACCTCTGAGCCACTCCCTTAGCTTGTATCTGAGTGTGCTGAGATAACTGTTTCTTTTCTCCCCTCCCTCCCTCCCTCCTCCTCCCTCTCTCCATCCGCCCTCCCTCCCTCTTTCCCTTCATCCTACAGTACTAAGAGTCACTGTAGAATTTCAGGCCCCTTCACCTTTTTAGTTGAAATGCCATATTTACATTATATTCTGGTCTTTCTGTGCTCCATAACACTTAAACTTTAGGAAGCACCCAATTCTACATGTTTACCCTAGAATTCTGAGGACCAGGCAGATGAGTTTAATTCATATAAACTTAATCATTTTTTGTCTCTGCCTCACCATTGTAGTGAAAGTCATATTCTCAGTTAGGAGAAACAGTGTACTAGAGTCTCACATATGCTGGCAAAACTATTATACCCCTGCTACTAGAATTTGAAACCTCAGTTTTATTTATTTTTGATAAGGTCTCACCACATAGCCTTGGCTGGCCTAGGAATCCTTATGGAGGTCAGGCTAGTCTTGACCTTTAGGCCATCCTCCTACATCTGCCTCCCAAGTACAAGGATTAGAGGTCTGCCTTGACATGCCCACTGGTAAGCTTTGGTGCTTAGTGTGCTACTTTACCTCATTCGGATAATCTATCCATCACTCTGTAAGGCTAGCTCTTCTCTCATAGTGTCTTTTCTTGTGTTCCCCAGGCCTTCTTGCACCGAATGAACCAGTGTGCAGCAGCAAAGGTTGACAAGAATGTGACAGAGGAAACGGTGAAGGTGAGCAGGCCGCTCTAGCCCTCAGCGCCCTTTCGTTCTTTGCCTCTCCCACTCTGAGCTCCTCTAGGAGTGACTAGCGTTGAAAGAGGGAGCTAGAGCCTGGGAAGAGAAAGGAAGAGGACAGCTTACATGTCCTAGAGGATTCTTGTGCTTACCAAGACCATGTAAGCATTTGGAAAGATGAAAAGTAAGCCTAAGAAGTAAGACTAGACCTTCACTGTGTATGAGAAGAAGACTGGATGAGGTAACAGACAGTTTGCCAGAGTCGTTCAAGAAGGCAAGATATGGGGAAGTGGGAATTCCAGTCTCTGATATCTCATGAGCAAAATTTGGATCATCCACTGCTACAGAAAAGAATGTAATACCCAAAAGTAAATCCATAAGTGTTTCCTTACCTTGTAAAATGTAGGGAAGAGGTCCTGGATGTGGCTTAGTGGTAGCATGTGTTTTGGGTTGGTTACAATGTCACTGCAGACATGAGAAGAACTAACTGAGAAGCACCACCAGTAACTTAGGTCTCAGAGAGTGGCTAGAGAGTTTGCAGTGTTTAAGAATCTGGGTTCCATCCCCAGTACACACACACACACACACACACACACACACACACACACACACACACACAGAGTAAAGAGTTTTGAGAAAAGAAATAAAGAATGGAAAATGAAAATTTATCTTTTGTCATGGTTGCTGATTATGCTCTTACTGTTTTATTAATAAAAAATTCAAGGGTTTTTATATTCTTCTGACTGTTTCCTTATGGGTTATATATGTAACTTGCAGATTTTTCTATCATTGAAAGCTTTAGTTAACAAGCTTTGGGTCACAGAAAAAGCAGCCTATGATTCAAGTGGACTTGAGCACTCACTCACAGTGACTCCAGGTGAAAGAAAACATCTGTACAGGTGTTTCAGGGTAGACAAAGTGTAGCTAGGGCTGTAGCACTCAAAGCCGCTGTCTGGGTACAGTGCAATGACCTTGCAGTTGACCCTGCTGTGACTTCTACACATACACACCTGCCAGGAGGAAGGCTGGTCCATTCTGGGCTACTTTTCCTAGTGCCGAGGACTTTCCCAAAAGTCTGCCGGCAGATCTCCCACACTTTGACTTACAGGCGTTCAGGGAAGAGGATGGTGCTGGCAGGCTGGGATTTGTCCCTCAGTCTTTTTCCTGAGTTTCAGGATGGTGTCCCCATTCCCAGAGTTCTGTGGGAAAACAGAAGTCCAGATGAAAATGGCTTTTACTTGCTGGGTAGGAGGAAGCGTGGATGTGGAGTGGCTGTTCAAGGTGCTGGGTCCTCCTGGGCTTTTTAATTGAAATTTGAAAATTTGCTTCACAACTGGACGACACAGATTTTATTTCTGTATTTATTTTTAGATGCTGTTCTCCAATATCGAGGAGATCCTTGCTGTCCATAAGGAGTTCCTGAAAGTTGTAGAAGAATGCTTGCACCCTGAGCCCAACGCCCAGCAGGAAGTGGGAACCTGCTTTCTTCACTTTGTAGGATAATATTTTTTCCCATCCCCTGTTTATTTTCAAACTCCTTCTCTCTTGATTTTAAGGACTGCATCTTGGCAGAGTAGTGTGGGTGAATTCAGCGTGAGAAGTAAAGCCGGACACCAGAAGTTTGGGGTCTTTTAAGGCCAGTGAAATCTTGCCCTCGGAGCCAGAAAAGGGGAGGGAGTCCCCCATCATCCATTTCACTCAAGGAATAAACAGCCTTTTCTTTTTCCTGACAAGCTAGTTCTTCGCATCCTCTGTAGCTTTGAATTCTAATGAATATTCAGCCCGTTTCATAATGAATGGATTTTTATGTTTCGTTCAGACATAGCACATTTTTCTTTTGGGGCAGAAAATTCTCACTCTTATAATGGCACTGCAAGGCCTTTCTTTATTGGTCAGAACATTCCCTTGTTAACTTTCTGGTTACCAACCTGGAGGCGAAGGGACTGCTGCTTCCCATGACTGGTTTTCCTCCAGGGTGGCTTCTCAGAAGTTTGTTTGGAGCGATGTTGGGAAGAACGAGGTGCAGGGACTCAGTTGTCTGGAACACCCACCCTGTGCCTTGCCATCAGTTTCATGTATTTGTACAGGATACCTGGAACTGTGCAATTGATTTGCAAAACAAAAAGCCACCTGCTTGGTGTTTTTAAGAACCAAAGGGTATTCATAGTACAAGAACAAATTTAAAAAATATTGTCATTGATTCCTTTCCATGGGTGCTAATTTTCAGAATGCCTCTCTGAGTCAAAGGGCCCCCCAGTGACTATCTCATACACAGCTAGGTGAGACTACACAAATGGCCACCCAATGACTATCTGACATACACAGCTAGGTGTATGAAGCTTTGTGTATATTTTCTGCATAGTCATTTTTCTTGTAGTTTCTTTATCTACATGTGATGAACAGGCTTGTTTTGTAATCTGTATATTTTTTTAATGATTGTTTTACCAAAGGGAGATACTCCTGGGGACTGGGTTGATTATTAAGCTGTGCGTTTCTTGGTTATGGCTGGGAGCTGTGATGCTCATATCCGCTTCCTCAAGCCTGCTTCCTTTCACAGAACAGTCAGACTCCCCTGCCAGCTGGAGTAGCTGTTATCTCAGGCCAGGGATGCTCATGGGAACTCTGCACCCTGACAGCCATTTCCTTAGTAACACATTATGAATCTGTCATCCATAAATGCCTCTCAACTATTTCTGAACTTTACTCTTATTCTGGCTCCTACCATCTCTTGAGGCTTGTAATTCAACCCATGCTCTGCTGGCTACATAAAACAATGCTTACTGCTCCTAAGTCTGTGTCTTTGAAATTCTGTTCTGATAACTTGGTTAATAAATTATTTGCATTTTTCATTGGGCTCCTTTGATAGCTATTAATTATAGCTCAATTGGGAGCAGTCCTATAGATATGGTAGGGATCCCAGAGATCATGATAGCAAAATTCTTCATTTTTGGAAAGAAATCTCTCTAACACGTGAAGGCTGTTTGTGTGGTTTCCCGGCAGTTCAAATTATTAGATCTTGATTGATTGGTCACACCTCTGTCCATCACTGGCCCTGCCATTTCCACCGAATGGCCCTGTTTTGGAACTTTATAGACTTATTCATTTCTCACAGAATAAAAGCCATTTGAAAGTAGCTATAATAGTATGTCTTGACCTTTCTGTCTTAAACGTCTCTCTATGAAGCAATCGCTGGGATGTTGTACTTTCAGGGTCTGCCATTATTTTAGTTACTTGTTGCTGTGTGCTTTTTTGTTTGTCCATGTCCCTTTTAAACGTGACTGCTATGATTGGCTAAGATAAACTTCGGGATTCTGTCTCTCATGATTCCTGTGTGAGGTATCGCGTGCCTCTTCCCTCTGTCTAGAATGATGCTGTCCCTCCTTTTGACTGGGAGATGTCCATTTGTCATTTATTTCACTAGACCTAGGTCAGAAGTAAGCTTTAAAAAAAAAAAAAGCTGTGTCTGATTTCTCATGACAAAGGAAAAAACCCTTCATTCTCTGAGCTTTGCCACCATTTGACTCACTCATATTATTGCATTCATATTGGGGCAAATGTATCAACTTCTTTTCTAGGCTATACTTATGAATGGGGGCAATAAAAAATTTACACACATGTAGTATGTCTCTGAGACACTGTACCGTTGTGGAGTTTTTATGCATATCACATGGGTTAAAATTTCAAAGTAATGAACAGTAATTCTCATTTCTGCTGTCTTTAATTCACAGAAAGACAAGTTTCGTATCTACGATGAGTATTGCAGCAACCATGAAAAGGCACAAAAGCTGCTTCTTGAACTGAACAAAATAAGAACAATCCGGACGTTTCTTTTAGTAAGTGCACATTCGTCTGTAATCACATGCTGGCATTGGTGGAGGGCTCTTTCTGTAAGAGTGCGTGTGGCCGTTTGTCCTGGGCTACGTCTTAGCACTTGCAGACTTGGGAGATAGTCCATAGATGCTGTAAGCATCTGGATCTGGGATGAGCTTATATGTGAGAAATGCTGCTAATGCCCTCTCCTGGCTGCCAAAGAACTGTCTGTACGATCTCTCCAGTCAAGCAAAGAACTGAGGTCAGAGTTCACCTTTGCCTTGTGTCCTCAGCTCCCCAGGGATCTATTACTCCTCAGAGGACTGGAAGTAGGGCAGTCACAGGAAGGAAGCCAGTGTGGAGACCGGCTGCTCCCCTGCCGACGTTCATTACTCTGTTTTCTTAAGAGCAGCAGAATTCAGTGTTGATTTCCTTTAAGACAACATACATAAAGGCATGTTTTAACAGCTATGGGCTACCATGCAAGTGTCTGATGAAGTGAGAGGGGTTGTTAGGCCATCCCCCAGAGTCTAGCTTTAGAGCACTTCCATGTACTTGAACAGGCAGGCTCCTGTCTCTTGATAGTCTATTTCCCTTCCCACCACTTGCTTCAGGCTACAATGATTTGCTCTCTATATAGAGTGTCCTTTTTATAGATAAAGTCATAAATTCATATTCTATTCATATTTCTATTTATCATTATAAAATATTGCTTTCATCTTAAGTGGTACTTTTTAAATAACATCTATTTTCCTTATAGTTATGGAAGAATCTCTCAGTGTTTGAAATTCTGTATTAACTCTTATTTTTTAGTGACCACATACGATCTTTTAAATGTTCCGGTAGCCTGCACATTTCCTTTCCTATGCATGTACATTTTCTGTTAATAATGATTTTATTCCAAAGTAATATAGTGGAAATTTTTGCTTTAGTGTTTCCTGGAAGGAAGTGCAAAGTGTTGAGGCCTCTCTCCCTTGTGTAGCTTCTGCCGCCTGTGCCCCCTTCTATGTGAAGAAGCCTACACCACCCATAGTTTTGTATTCCCTACTTTTCTACAGTGTTTATGTTTGCTGCAGTCTACCACCTCCGCTCTTCTTCATTCCTGTCGACTTGACATGGACTGTGGTAGCCTTTCCTGTGAAGGATAACCCTCAGTTTTCCTCTGAGTCATTCCTACTAGTTTATCGGGAGATGTCTTTGTCTTCAGTTTTGAAGGGCAGTTCCATTGAGAGTACTCTTGATTGCATCTTTCCTTTTCATAATTTTGAGCTTGACTCCACTACTACATAGTTGCTTCTAATAGGACTGAATCTGTAGTTTGTATTGCTGCTGTTGTTTACATACTACTGTAGTGTCCTCCTGCCAGAGTTTTTTGAGCCCAGGACTTGAAGACTAGTCTAGGTAACATTATATGACTCCATGGCTTCACCTTAAAATAAATAAAATAAAACATAAATTGCGAATTTGCAGGGATTATTAAAATAGTCATTACACAATTTTTCCTTTTATTTAACCTTATGCATACATTAAATAAAAATAATAGGAATTATTTCATTATTTTGCATGTATGGGTGTTTTGCCTGTATAAATGTTTGTGTACCGTGTGTGTAATGTTTTTGAAAGTCAGAAGAGGGTGCTGGATCTCCTGGTACTGGAGTTACAGATGGTTGTGAGGTATCCATGCAGATGTCGGGGGACCAAACCCAGATCCTCTGCAAGAGCAGCCAGTACCCTCAACTGCTCTCATTGCTGTAGCCACCACCTCCATATTGCCTTTTGGGTCCTTGTAATTGTTTGCTTTTCTATAATCTGTTATTCTCTGTTCTTCTTATATTAATTCATTTGTAACTCAGTGCAGTATTTTCTTTTTCATCGCGTGTCTCTTTGATTTGGCTTCACTGTTTTTCTCCGTTGGTTTTTTTTTTTTCTGTTTCTCTGCTTGCCCTTGGTGTCCTTCAGTTATTTAAGAAGTGCTTAAATTCTTTGGGTATACTTGTAATAGCTATGTTTAAGTCTGTGCTAAATCTAATATCTGGGTACACTAAAGAATTTTTATGGACTATGACTGAGTCAAGCTTTCCTGTTTCTTTTTGTATCTCATAATTTTAAAATTAAAAAATAGCTTGACATTTTAAATGACTTAATAGCAACTCTGGAATCTGTGTTTCCTCTCTGAGATTGGTTACTGGGTTTTTGTTTTTGTTTGTTTTTTCCTTGTTGCTCCGTTCTGTTCTTAGTAACCTACCTAGACTCAGTCTGACTCCCATTTCTCTGAAGACATCTCTTCTTAGGTTAACTTCATTATTTCCAAGCTCTTCTTTTCGAGGTGCCTGCTGTGAGTGTTCAGTGTGTTGGAGCTGCTCTTCTCATTAGTGTGGACCCAAGTATAACTATAATTCAGGCACAGTCGAAGGCCAGAGGATTTGCAAGGCGATTCAGGGTTTTTCTCAGGGTGTCTACGAAGGTCCTTTTTTTTCTTTTTTTGTTTTTTTTTTTTTTTTTTTTTTTTTTTTTTTTTTTTTTTTTTTTTTTTTTTTTTTTTTTTTTTTTTTTTTTTTTTTTTTTTTTTTTGAATGACACGCTCTTTATGCCATGTATATCTCTTTAGGTTGTCAGTGTTAAATTTTTGGCCAGTTTGCTGGAAGACCTCAAGTATAGCTGTAGTCTCAGGCAGGCATTGTGAAAATGTCTTGTTTTGCTTATGGAATGTGTTAGCATTTTGTACAACACCATCTGATACAAGATTTTTGCTCTCTGCAACTCCCTTGGTAGAGTGTAAGACCTCTGCTGTTTTGTTTAGTGTGTCCTGTCTTTAGCAGTGTCCACTTGGAATCCTACTTAGTTTTATTGGTTTCGTGATTTAATGTGGAGTCCCACTGAAAAAGCCACGAGTCAAGAATGTGGGTTGAGGTGACTCACAGCATACTCTAGCAGACAGAATCTGTCTTGATAAATCTGTCATTCATAAAAGAGGGATGCTAACAATTACCCTTTGGGATTCATTTAACCGTTTCCAGGTGTGGGGTGATGATGGTATGAGTTAGGGGCTTTGCTGGTGCTCCCATCTCAGGAAGTTTTTAATGTCATTGAAAGTTATTCAGTGGACTTATTTATTTTTATGATTATGGCACAGCTCACAGATGGCTGTACATGCCCATATCAATCATGAATCCAGAAAACGCTCTGAGGACGTGCCCACAGATGAATCTCTTAAGGGAAATGCCTCAATTGAGGTTCCCTGGGCTCAGGTGATTCTTTTTTGTGTCACGTTGACAAACAAACAAACAAAAAGAAACAGTACAAGTGCTTGCCATAAAGGCATGAGGACCTATGTTCTGATCCCTCAGGCTCATGTAAAAGCTGGGGGAGAGTCCACCTGTAATCCCAGCCTTAGAGGGTAGACATAGGACTCCCCAGAACAAGCTGCCTGGGAATAATAATGATGTTGTTATTACTATTATTATTATTGTATAATTGTAATAGTGAGCCCTGTCTCATTGAGTAAAGCAGAAGGGGGATTGACAGCGATTCTTGACATCAACTTTAGCCCTCCACACAACAGATCACATGTACCTGCACAGATGTGCATGCTCACCTTCACACATAGGTGTCCACAATGTACAGGCGTGCATACATGTATGCATAAGCACACATATAGTTCTCTCTCCACACACATGTGGCTAAAAAATGTTAAAATTAAACTAGGCCTTTTCAGGACACCTCATGAACCATGGAAAAGAGTAACTACGTTTTTGAGATTGCTAACTCATGCTGGAACTGGAACCTTTAAAACATTTGTGGAATATGGTAAGATATTAATAATTGTAACCAAGGGTTTCTCCCAGGGAAACCACGATAGGTACTGTGAAGGAATGTTGACTGCTCTGTCTTCTGTGATGTTTGGGTGAAGCGACCATCCTCTAACGAGGTACCCATACAGAGACTGAGACTGCCGTCTCATGCAGGGAAGGACTCTGTGCCCAATGGTGTGCCTTTGGAATGTTCTGCCTTCAGCTCTTCTCCTCCTGGAAACCCATATAGAATATTACTATGAGTTTGACTACGTAGGGCAGGGAACCCTGATTGCTCTTTGGGCTGACGAAGGAGGGGGACTTGATTGGGGGAGGGGGAGGGAAAGAGGAGGTGGCGGTGGGGAAGAGACAGAAATCTTTAATAAATAAATAAAAATTACAAAAAAGAATATTACTATGAAATAGTGTCAGCGACTATGATAACCTCCCATTGTTGCCTTCTGAAGGTTCTCTCCTTCCTGCCTGATTGATTAAGTTCTCATCTGGGGTGACCACTCTGGCAGGCAATGCAGAAACAAGGTTCTCACTCTCACAGGTCTTTCTCATTGTAATATTGTTTAGAAGACTAAAGGCTGTCTACTCAAGTGGGTTTTCTCTTCACCACCACTTTATGGCAAGCCCACGCTGCTTCCTGTTCACCCTGTGATTGCTAATGTGGAGATTTTTCATCTGTTCTGCCCTTGTGGAGAGCTGCTCTGATTTCCTCGAAGATTGACTGCCACATTGTCTTTTCTTAAGTATGGTCATGTAACAACAGCAGTAGCAGCAGCAAACATGACTGAGAGTCACCAGTTTAAAAGATTCCAGCATAACAGAGAGCAAAACTCTCAAATGAGCTCAAGTGGGTCGCGTCACCAGTCAGTACTGAAGTCTGACTTCCACACCAGAACTCGGTGTCTCGGTGCCTGCTTTTCCACAACATGATGCACTTAAAAATGATTTATTTTCTTGTTTCTGTAAATGTACCTACTTGTTTGTATGTGTTCAGTGTGTATGTAGGTGCCCGAGAAGGCCGGAGGAGACAGTCACATGCCTTGGAATTCAATCTACAGGCAACCGTGTGCTGCCCAATCTGCATATTGGCAACTGAGCCATGGCAAGAGCAGCAAGCGTTCTTAACTCTCTAAGCACCATGCCCTCTCTCCAAGCCTCTCAACAATGCTCTTCTGTAAACAAAATATATCTGCTTTGTATGTTTCTCTATTTGTTCTCTCTCTCCCTTTCTTGTTTACATCCTTTCCTTCATGTTCAGAAGAATATATGTGGCTTAAACTCAAAGTTATAGGTTCACTTTGGGTTCTGTACCCAACACAAAAGGCCTGCTCTTCGCTGTCCTTGTGACATGATAGAGAAGGACACCTGTTCTCACAGCCTTTCAGTGTGCAATTTTGGCGGAATAGTTTTGCAGCCTCAGATTTGCAGGATGTACTTATGTATGTTTGTTTTCCCTGTAGAACTGCATGCTGCTGGGAGGACGGAAGAACACAGACGTTCCCCTGGAAGGGTACTTAGTGACCCCAATACAAAGAATATGCAAGTACCCTCTCCTCTTGAAGGTATTGAATGTTGCAGTGTGTGTTAGTGTCTTAATATTTTGTTGACTTCAAAAATATCTTTTAAAGATGCTGATATTCTTAAAAGAAGAGACCATAATTACTGAAAAAAATGGCTCTTTTGTCATAAATTTCTGTATGGAATAGGAAACAAAGCTTTAGTAGAAAGGCCATTAAAGGAAGCTTTTAGTGCTCTTTGAAACACATGTACTTGTTTGAGTTTCATTTGGAGTAAATGCATTAGCTTTAGAAAAGACCACATTAAATCCATTATGGCTGGTTTACATAGCATTTTAGCCACAGAGAACTTTGTATAATTCCACTGTTGGTCTATTTTTGGTTTCTCTATATTGTAGTGACTTGATGCTAATGACATTAAGGTTAAATTACACAATTTCAAAGCTTAGTGTGTCAGTTAGGTTTTTTTTTTTTTTTTTTTTTCAACTTGACACTAGCTCGGGCCATCTGGGAGAAGGGGACATCTATTGAGAAAATACCTCCATCAGTTTGGTTCGTGGACTAGTCTTGGGGGCATTTTCTTGATTAACAATTGACGTGCGAAGGTGCAGTCCACTGTGGGCAGATGGAAGCTAAGCAAACCATGGGAACACACCAGTAAGCGGTGGTCCTCCTTGCCTCTGCTTCAATTCCTGCTTCCCGGTTTCTGTCCTGATTTCCCGTATAGATGGGCTGTAATCTGAAACAAACCCTTTCAGGGGTCATGGTGTATATTATAACAATAGAAACTTAACTAATACACTTGCCTTTTTTTTTTTATTTTTATTTTTATTTTTTTTTAAATTTATTTATTTATTTAACATTTCTGTCTCTTCCCCACCGCCGCCTCCCCTTTCCCTCCCCCTCCCCCAACCAAGTCCCCCTCCCTCGTCAGCCCAATAAGCAATCAGGGTTCTCTGCCCTGTGGGAAGTCCAAGGACCACCCACCTCCATCCAGGTCTAGTAAGGTGAGCATCCACGAAACTGCTTAGGCTCCCACAAAACCAATAGGTCCAGTAAACTGGATGTCAATCTGTAGAAGAATGAAAATAGACCCATATCTATCACCATGCACAAAACTCAAGTCCAAGTGGGTGAAAGACCTCAATATCAGTCCAAACACACTGAACCTGATTGAAGAGAAAGTGGGAAGTACTCTAGAACACGTGGGCACAGGAGACCACTTCCTACGTATAACCCCAGCAGCACAGACAGTAAGGGCTTCATCGAATAAATGGGACCTCCTGAGACTGAGAAGCTTCTGTAAAGCAAAGGACACTGTCGCTAAGACAGAAAGGCAACCCACTGACTGGGAGAAGATCTTCACCAACCCCTCAACTGACAAAGGTCTGATCTCCAAAATATATAAAGAACTCAAGAAACTAGACCGTAAAAGGCTAATCAACCCAATTATAAAATGGGGCACTGAGTTGAACAGAGATCTCTCAACAGAAGAAGTTCAAATGGCCAAAAGACACCTAAGGTCATGCTCAACTTCCTTAGCGATCAGGGAAATGCAAATCAAGACAACTTTAAGATACACTTGCCTTTTAAGCAATTACTGTAAAGGTGTTGTGTGGATCACACGGAACAAGCGCGGTAGAACACAGGGTCGAAAGCACTCCTGTCACAGAAGTAAACACCACCCTAGCAGCTGCTGCAGGTCTGAGAGTAACCAGAGTTTTTAGTGTGATGAGACAGTGTTGTACCTGAATAGCAAGTCTGAAACTATAGCTTTTGAGATTTCAGCCTTAGGGTAGGGAATTGGAGGGAGGGTTGGATGCATGAACCCTGAGTTCAAATTACAGGGGTTCTCTACTAACTCTCTGTCTGAGGTGTGCAATTGAACCTCTTAAAGCCTTGAGTTTGCATTGGGAGAACAGAGATGATGATGAGGATTATCATGAAGTCATAGTATATGAATTTATAAACAACACATGGATATATATTTATTTACATGTACATAGGACTCTGAAAGAATAATTGATTTTGCTATTTTACATCTATCTTAGAATAGTGTTTGGTATTATTCATTATCATTCATATCTACTTTATTCTTATTTATTTTACTAAATTAATTATGGATTGCTTCTGTTTTTTAAAATATATTATGAAATACTATGGAACATAAATGTTATGAAAAGCAACTAGAAATAAATATTGTTATAGTTTTATGAGCTGTATAAGTTGACTGTCTTATAAAATTTGTGTGCATTAATAGTATATGGGTTGTTATATGTCCTAGTTAGTGTAGGTTTGTGCACATGTGTAAGTGTGCTTATCGTGTATGTATGCATGCATGTGGAAAGCCATTGTTGAAATCCAGTTATTGCTGTCTAGGGTCTTGATCAGGTTTGGTTTCTCCATCAAGTAAGAAATAAAAGGACAGGGGGAAAAAAAACAAGTGGTTCCAGCACAAACCTTAGGTCCCAGAACTCAGGAGGTAAAGGCAGACAGATCTCTGACTACATAGAAACCCTGTCTCGCAAAAAATCAAAATCACAAACACCCTAAAAAAAGAGGCAGGAAACAAACTGCATTAAAAGTGTACACACATGCACACACATGCACACACATACACACACAGAGAGACAGAGTCAGAGAGAGAGGCAGAGTGAGGCAAAAAGGTATTTAGAAACTAAAAATATGAACCTGCTGGGAGGGCTTGGATCTTTAAGGTATTATTAGTGATGTAGGGAAAGTCCCCCTCCCATTATTTTTGCCTGGTCAACTTAAGAAAAAAGAGGGATCTGATAGGCCTATAGAGTCAGGTTTTGAACTGGCTCTGGTCGTGTCAGGGCAGGTCAGCTAGAAGGAGCACCCCAGTTGGGGTTGGAGGGTAAGTTCATCAAGGCTTTGTTCTGGATGAAGAAGCTGGAAGTTGGCCATCATGTTGTATACCAATGTACCTTTCACCTGTCTGTCTGCTTACTTCCCTCTCTCATTGGTACCTGTAACCTATAGGGCCACTAGCACAGTTTTAAGGCCTAGCAAGAATATGATTAAAGAGAGTGTTGGTCCATGGACACCCTTGTTGAGGGAGGAGAACATGCAGGAACACCACCTACAGAATCTGCTGCATGCCTGATTATAAGCACTGGTCAGACTATGATGTCTCTACCTTCTTGATCTACTACTAGCTGTACTTTGTCAAGAATGCTGTTGGTTTGACTCAAGAGATTGGGGTTCTTTTAATCAGTGAGTTTCAAATTATCAGCAAGCCCATGGGTTTCTCCTATTTCAAACCTATGCAGAACATCAAGGGACAAGGTCAGTGAAAAGACTTCCCCCCACATTGTTACTGATGCAAATTTTGGACAAGGGATCAAGGTCTAGTATAATTAGTGAATTGGTGCACCGGATTCTCATACTGGGGAGTTGAAGGTCAGAGGCCTTACATGAAAAGTCAGTGAAAGTAATCATCCCCTTGATCATTCCCTTCCAACAACAGATGTGCTTGCTAGTGTACCAGAATTTATTTCTTCTGAGGTTAGACACCACCGGCCAAGTGTGAATGAAGTCAGAGTCTCTTCCTTTTTTGAACCCAGCCAGAGCTCACGCTCTAAATAGGGATCAATATAATCCCCCGGATCAGGTTTGGTAAGATTGCCCAACACTATCCTATCAGCACTACTTGGGTGCCATTAATGATTTTCCCAAGACTATAAGTTTTATGATAAGGTATTTATTTTGTAGCTTCAGTCAGTATACAAGATGAGATATTACAGTGGTATGGAGTTTTCTTTGAAAGAAAGGGCATACCATAATTAGAAAAGATGTTCTCAGAGTTAGGTTCAACATTTGGGAGGATAGGCCATTGACACATAGGCAATTTGGATCCCATTTCATTTAATAAAGTTAATAAACTTTTGTTAGATCTAAATACATGCCCTCTTTCCTCATGTGATGGAAATATTTTTTTTTTTTTTGGAGACTGGGTCTAATAGATACCATCTATTCTTTAGACCTGAATTTTCTTTTGTTAAATGTTCTATTCTTTTCCTTCTGCTTGGAATAAGAGATTGACTTTATGGCTTGTTTGGCTAGGGAATCCTTTTCAAGGGATTGCCGTTCCTCTGAGGTGGCCCATTCTAGCACTTTGGTGAACCCTAAGTTTGTGCTTATTTCCCCAAGGAGATAACTCATGGTTAGATAGAGGATGGATATTCTTGAGGAAGTTTGTCTCCCAGATTTTTGTGTGAGGTTAAGGTAACTGGGGAATTCTCCTCAATCATAGATTCCTCAGGCAAGATTAGGGACCACAACTGGGAAACTTGTCTCTGTTTTAGGGCTGTGAATTCAGATTAGGATAAAAATGGGAATCCAAAACCAATAGATAGCCTATAGGAGGTTCGGAGTGGTGGGGACAGTCCCCAGGGAAGCCCAAGTCTGGTGTGCCCACATGGATTCCAGTTTTATCTGGCATGAATAGTAAGGGTGATATTGGAGAGTATGTGAGCCTACTGGGTCACACCTTGTACTTGGGAATGTCCATGAGGAAATTCCGAAGTTGCAGGTACAGGGTAAGGTTTTGCTGTCTTTCTTGTTTTATTCTGTTCTATATTGCAGTGATTTTCACATATTTGGATCTTTGAACCAAACGTTTGGTTACTCCTAGTTGGCGAAGAAGATTGCAATCAGGTGGCATCTATCATGTTGATGGTGATCAGAAAGGGTTTGTAGCTGTTGTCTTAAAAACATTTATTATCCTGGAAGGGGTAGAATGAGTTGGTCCCAATGGGGGTCTTGGTCAGTGCAGAAGAGAATCTGTGAAATGTGTTCCTCTTTGTCAAGGTCTAGGCTGGTTTTATTTCTAGAGTAGAGTGAAGGTGGGGAAGTGAAACAGGAAGCCTGAATGGATGCTTCACGTGCCGTGGGCAGTGTGGTTTCACACTCCTGTTATTGTCTGTCATACAGTGAAAGTGTCTTTGTCAACCCATCTTCTAGAATATGGCCGAAAGATCTCCAGAGTCTGTGGAAGGTACAGGGTTATTGATAAGGAGGTA